ACTTCTTAAAGCTTGTTGTGGATTAGAATTTTAGAAAATAAAAAATACATAAGAATATAGTATATTTGTAGGGTCCTTTTTCAGAAAAATAATAAATAATATATATATATATGTATATATATATAATTCTATTTATTGTATTGTACATATTTTATTTAGTTAGTTCTTAAATATAACGAATCTACATTTTTATCTCATATATCCAAGTGTATGCTCTTATAGCATGAATATAGTGATTTAATTTTATATTATGTATGATATATTTGTTAATATACGAAACGTTTTACATATTTCAATAAAAAAATTTTATCTATTCTTGAATATATTATTTCAATTTATTAGATATTTTTTTAATATATTAAATACGTTAATGTAGTTAATGATTTATTTAATGAATGCATAAACAAACTATTGAATATCAGCATAGAAGAACTTATTATTTTCTTTAATTTTAGCAAAGTATTTAAAATTACTTATATTTTTTTCCTTATATAACATTACCATACATATGATATAAAATTACGATGATAAGTATATATTATCTTATTATATTTTTAATTTTTTATAGAAACCTTAATATTGCAGACCAGCATATGTATAATTTTAATCTGTACTATTATAAATATTCGAAAATAGTCTTATGTATTTTTATTTTAAGAAAGAGTAAATTAGTAGAAAATTGTTACATAATTAATGTATCAAATATTTATCAGATACAGATATTTGTTGTGAATATGAACTATGCTAACATATAAAAAAATTAAACATAAGCAAATGAAAAAAGTTTAATTCATAAATCTTATGGAGAATGAAATAAAGACAATTACCATAATAATAAATAAAATCAATCAAATGAAGTTAATGAAAATAATAAATTACTTGAGATATGACGCCAATGCGCTTTTAAAATTATAACTAGTTATTTTGAAATAGGTATATAAGAAATTTTTAATTAAAATAATATGATTTTATGAACAATAATGTATATTAAAATAAAATATGTAACATTAAAAGACATTTATCTTGCTTTTATTCTTATATTTCCTGATATTATACGTGAGTCAAAATATTTCTCTATAATAAACTATACGAACACAATGAATTTTTTATTGACGTCTAATAACTTCTTTATTATCATTATCCAGGATTATTAATATTCTCATAAAAGTGCTTAGAAATAATATTTTAAAAAAAGGTGACAAGAATCTACCATATCTTATTATTCTAAATATTTAAATTTTTATATAAATAGCCCATAGTTTTTTATAATAATACTAGTGATATTACATGAATAATAATGTCATAATACATATTTTAATAGGGGGTTATATAAAATATATTATTCTCAATATTTATGCATTCCATATTAATATATATATATAATTCAATTTTATATTATGTTTTCTTATATTGCTTTTATATGTACAGCATATATTTTCTTCAATTTAATACATAAATTTTATTATTACAATAATAGCACTGCAATTTTATAAAATTTTTTATTAAGGTAAATATATACATACAATTATTTGATCCTACCAGTATCGAAAATATATTATTATTATTATTACTTGTTTAGTAATAATATTCTATTCAAATGGAACATTAATGTGTTTATATATATGATAACGTTTTTGAAAAAGCGTTACCAAAATAATTCCAATTTTATTATACCCTTATAAATATCACTAGTTCTACTTAAATATTACTTTGTTACATATGTATCTGATAAATGGAAAAATAATTGTTTTCTTATATTTTAAGAATAAATATGTCTAATTTGGTGCATTAGAAAAAATAATTGTAATTTTTTTTTTTACATATGTTTTTAACAAATGAATAAATATAACAGTCATAATACTTAGAAAAATTGTCAATAATAAATGTTCTTTACTATAATTATATTGTTAAAATATAATAATTTAATTATAAAAAGATTATAGTTATATTTTATACGTCAAAAAAGATCCACAACAGTATTTCAATAATGAATGTGTACATGAGTGTAATAATAAATCATCCACATACACTATATTTAATAAAATTTTATTATACATACTTTACATAGTATGTGGTATGTAAAATTAAATTATATATATGTTTATGTAGTAAAGACAATGATTATTAGGCATACCATAAAAAAGGAATGAAATTCATTGTTAACAACACTAAGAAGCATTTAATTGTCCAGCAAATATTGGAACAAATATAAATTTATAATTATGTGAACTAACTTATGGAAGTACTATATATACAATGCATATTATTTATTAAATATTTATTGTTATTTTATATTTTTTATAGAAATATTTTATAAACAACTTATATATCATTTTATAATATGATATGTCTTTAAAAATATATTAATATAAAATTCTTTTGCTTCTTATTTTTTTGTATTTTTTTCAAAATAATAAATTACAAAAGTGTATCCTTGATACAGGCGTAATGTAACAAAAAAAAAAGGTTATACTTCTTTCAGGAATAGGAATTCTTAGGTTGAATGTATAAAATATTGCATTTCGTAAATTCTTGTCCAAAAAAATTAGTGAATATCTTTATCATATGTATACGTATGATATTTTGGTATATAATTTAAGATACATTTTAAAACTCTATGAAAGTAATATATTTAAAATATTTTATATAGGTTTTGTACATAATTACATCAATGAAAATATAGAGAAAAAATTTTGTATTAAATACATTATCTCAAGGAGATATAAATATAATATATTTTATTAAAGTAGGCATATGATAATATAATTATATCCTTTTGTGTATTATCATAATATACTATTTGCAGTACGGTTTTTGTACATTAAGTAATACATATATTTTGATAAACTTGTTGTATTTTTTCAGATTTCATTTTACTATGCTCTATATTAATTATAACGAATAAAAAATGGAAATTTTATTTGTATAATATTTTCTTATTATGTCAAATAATAATTATATAAATTTTCATTAAAATATTACTTTTATCGAATTTGTAATGGAATGAATAATTGCAAAATACAAAAGAAAAAAATTGAATGAAATATAAAATATATTATCTTTGTTGTGATCACGCATATTAGTAGTAATTACAATATTATGGTGTAATAAAAATATTTTTCTGATAAAATTAAATGGCTGAAATATAAAATAAACCTGAATTAGGGTAAAAAAAAGTTATTAATTATAATTGATCATACATTATGTGAAAATTATTATTCATATGAAATAATTCATATGATTTTATAATTTATAAACACAAAAACTATACATTCAAGATGTATTTTAAAAAATATAATATATATCTTATAAATTTAATAAAACTTCTCATGCAAAATATTTATGTATTAATATTCTTATATAGTTCTACCTCAGTATTATAGGTACAAAATAAGCGATATGTGCCAGAAGCATTGAGAAATTATACAATATATATCTACATAGAAATAAAGATTTTCGTTTAATTGTTATTAACCAAGTATTCTTAAGTACATAAAATTTCTAATTTTATATTGAACACAAACAATTAATTACGAAATATGGGAAAAATATAATTTAGCTATATGTATTGCATAAAAAAAAGTAATATATATGAAACATATACAAATCTGTCTTCATTCTAATAATAAAGAGACGAATTATAAAACAAACCTGTCTACCCACAATTACAACCTTTTTTCGTATTTTAATTTATTCAATAAAATAATTATAATTTTAAAGTAATTAATATACCTTCTAATATATGTAAATGTGAAAAAAAACTAAATAATAATAACATAAACTCTATTATTAACATTGAAATGTTTTCTATAATGGTAATCTGAACATAATGATCATCAAATATATATGTAGACACATGTATAATTGAAAATATCATAATCATTAATATTATACTACAATTACATCCTATAATATGTTATGAATAAAATTTTAAATATATAAATAGTTTCTGTATATAAGAAATATTATAAATACTAGAGACCCCCCCCGCCGAAAAAAAAAAGACTCCAAATTACTTATAGAAACAATAAATTTAAAGATAAACTAAAGAAGAAATCCACAAAGCTTGAAAAATGTACCCTAAATATAAAATCTAAACCATAAAATAGAAGCCACAAAAACTGAGCACAGAAAACATAAAAACTAAACCCATAAACCCTAAATGTACCCCTAAAAAATCAATGAATTACACAACATAAAAGAACATTAAATGTATTAGTTAGAGAATTTTTTCCTTAATGAGAAAATTTTTTTTTTGTAAATGGTATATCTTTAAAAAATCATAATTTAATGTATATCAAATGATATTTTTTAATGAAGAATCACGGAAACAATTTGATGTAATATTAATCAATTATGATTATTTTTTTTTTTGCATTTATTAAATGTTAAATCTAGTATATAAAACATTTGATGTAACTTTTTTAGGTAATATATTTATTTTCTTTTAATTTGTTTTTTTTTAATTAGGAATTAGCTGTATATTATGGGTTAGATTTAACTTCAGAAAATTTCTACGACAAAATAGAAAATGCAAAAAATTTAAGTGAGTTTTATGATAGATGTAAATCCTTAAGTAACACAAAATATGGAATGGGTGTTAGAAACACCTGTTTAAAGCTTTTAAAATATTTAAAATCTAATGCAGAATATTTAGATAAGAGTGACACCTATGATATATGCGAACTTTTAAATTATTGGTTAGCCACTAAATTAAGTATATTTGTGGGTTATAAGGGTGATTCATATGTGAAAGATGCTTTTGCAGATATTGCATACATATGGAATGATTTTACTTTAAATGAATTAAAGAAAGCTTATCAAGAAGCATGTAATCCTCTCATAAGTATTCTTGGTCTTCGTGACTGGAGAGAGAGGAAGGATGTATATGAATATTATGTTAATTATAAGTACCTTAAAGGTATGTCTAAAATAAAAAAAAGTCATAGGGGATTCTGTTCATACATTAGAAACAAAGCTTCACCATATAATTATTTTGATCGTAGATGTAAATCAGATGAGACGCATTTCTGTACAGAATTTCAAACTAAATATAAAGAATGTGATCCAAATAAACTTTTAATTGAATTTGAATGTGAGCTGGAAATGGAGAAAAAAAGGTTATTAGAAGAACATCAAAGAATAGAATTGCACAAAATTGCACCAACAGAGGAAACCATATCTAAACACGAAACGCCACATTCTGGATTGTCTTTAGAAGGAACACAAACAGTTAACGTTTTACAATCAACTTATAATAGCTTTATTCCTTTGAAAAAGGGAGTTGGTATACTTCTGGGGATCTCAGCTATATGTATGATTTATGGATTTTTACATAAAGTAAATAGGAGGCCCATTAATTTATATAAACTATATATATTTGTTTATAACTTTCTCTATATATCTATCAATTATAATTAAATATATTAAGTATTTTATGTAATATATATTTATATCTAAGTTTACACCCATAGGAAGTTGGATCCGTAATAGGTTTTCTAATAAAAAGTATACTAGAAGTAATATAAATTATGAGTTTAATAGTGTATATAATTATGCACAAAATTTACGTAATCCATATTATAACATTAGAGATGTACATAATATAGGATATCACACGGGATAATTTTTTTTGTAATCAAATAGATAGTATGACAATTTAATAAAAATATATAAGAACCAATTTTAATATTTTTTTAAAATTATTTTTGTCTATACGTGTAAAAATTTGTATAACAAATAAAATACTGTATTTCTTAATCACATTATTCTAAGAATATTTACATAAACAATAGGAGTGAAAGAAAAAAGACATAAATACTAAATTATGCCAATTAAATAACAAATGTGACAAAATATATAATTAAAAAAATTAATAAATTAGACCTGAAAGGAATTTGTTTTAAATAACTCAGAAATTTAACTTTATATACAATTTTATCAAATAAAATATATATCAGTTTTTTTGCAAAAATACATCAAAAATTATGCACAGGACACCCTTATAATGGAAATAAATATGTAATATTAAAGAACACTGTTTGATAATTGATCATATATATATTCCATAAGTTAGAAATGGTGCTAAATTTTAATTTTCATTATATTTATATGTTAATGATAATTTAAGACAAAATAACTTCAACGAATTGTGGGTTCCTTATATCTATACAATGAAAAATAAAATTAATTATTTCTTTACAAGACATAGTATATTTATTAAAATCTATTATTAGCTATATTATCCATAAACCGCGAATTTTATTATGTTTTTTAATAACATTACATACCCTATATTAATTTGTATAAAGTGGAAAAAATATATATTAATATAGAATCCACAATTTTATATTTTTAATAAGTGCGGACATTTGTTTATATTTATTATATTATGTGTGTTTATGTATGGAATATTAATAGAAAACTATGGTTTTATTGATCAAATACATCTATTATTTTTATATCACTGAATTAAGACTTTTTAAAAGCTGCATTAGTCAGTTTAATATACAATCGTACTACAAAGAAGATAATATATTAACATGTACAAAATAGTTTGGAATGTAATTTTATTGTAAATTATGTTAGGATCATGTTTTCAATAATGTAATAAAATAATTTACGTTTTTTATAATAAATTATTTTTCATCATAATTATAAATGCCATATAAAATAATACTTATTAATATATTTTTATATGTTTAAATTATAATAATATTTTTCTTTGATTTAATAATTTGCTCCTTAATGTACAATAGGATCTTAGCTTATGTTATGATATTCCTAGTAATGTGATGTAAGTAATTATTTTAATGAATATTTTGGAACTAATGATTTCTCTGTTTTTTTTTATGTATATCCTAATATTATCATTAAGATTATGCTTGCTTTTTACTCTATTATTATTACAATTCTGAAATATAAGAATGTATTGTTAAAATAATACATAAATAACATAATGTGGCGAATAGCATAGTATATCATATAAATAAATATACATATTTGAGTAATCGAATTATATATATTATTATGTAATATAATAAATAAAAATGTGATATTACTTTTTTAAAAAGAAAAATAAAGAAATCCATTCGCAATATAAGGAAAAATGCCTTAAATATAATGTGAATAAATTATTAATTGAATGCTAATATTGCAGAAAACATTTTATAATATATTTCGCTATCTTTAAATGTATAGATATAATATATTTTTTTCACGTTTAATGTTCTTTGTGTATTTTGACATTCAAAATTGGGTATATAATCACAAATATAGGAAACATAAAATATATAATAATTACCATAAATTTTAGTCTAAATAAAATTTTATTGTTGATTATATTTATGGAATATAATATATATTGATTTTTTGTTTTTGTTTATATTTTTCATGATACGTATAAAAATAATATCGTTTAAGGCTCTTACTCTAAAATGTAATAATAGGGACATCATTATATATGTATTTAAAAAGGATAATTAATAAAATTAATGTAATAATTTTATTTATTATGAACATTTTTTGCTTTTTCACGAGAATAAATATATTATTTAATTGTATAATTCTTATATTAAATTTAAAAAGTATTTGTTGCGCGAAATAATTGAATTCATTTGAATATTTAAGGCAAAAATTTTTTTCTCGCATATAATCATTCTTGTTTTCAATAGCAATAACTTCTGTATTTATCATAAACACATTAGCAACGGTATATTAAAAAACAATATAATTAATATATAAAAAATTCATTATATTATATTTGTAAAATAATTTACAGAAAATGTTCAAGAAATTCCGGTATTATAATTGTTTTATATGTGATATCGAAACTATATAAAAGGGGAAATGTATGAACTATGGGTTATAGAGAATACACATAAGACCAATATATGTAAATAAGGAATAATATCACCTTAATATTTATATTATAATATCAAATACAGGCATATAACTATCAGAAAAACATACATTTCTAAAAAATTATTATAAATAAAAAAAGTTACCTTCACTGTTCTAATGATTCCGTTAAGAATTTAAAATACTATACATATTTTAAGAAAACAATAGGAAAAATTAAGATAATGTAACCATTTATAATGTATAATGAACAGTTTTATATGAATACAATTAATTTGAAATTAATATACAAATACATGGAAAATGCATACTTTGTATCACATATAACATAAATATCTATATTACATGAATTAATTTTTTTAAAATTTCTATAACAACAGAACGTCAACATGTTTTTTCATTCATAAAAAGAAACACTAGCTTTAATACTTTGCTTCTTATATATATTATAATGACCTAGATAAATATTTAATTAACACAGAATAAAAAAATGCATGGGAACGTAGAATATTTATATAATGAAGTCTTGCTGTAAAAACATAAAAAAAAACTTGAAAAAACTATTCATAAACACAAAAAAAAATAATCTTATGTATCATTACTTTCATTATATTGTAAAATTAGGTTTAAAAAATTGTAATATAAGAAATAAGAATTTATAAATTAAAAGAATAATAAATAAAAAAATCAGAATATACTTATCATATACTTTGTTAAAATAGGAGTTGGATTATTCTATTGCTTCACTCCAGATCCATTTTGTTTAAGGAAAATCTAAATATATATATAATTTTACAATGATATTCAAATTTTCATAAAAATTTAACTCTGAAATAATAAACGAATTAATATATGAACTATGATTTATTGTGTACAAGGCTATGCTATTCATAACTATAACCTCTATATGGAAATGAAAATATATATTCTCTATAATTTATACATTGAATAGTGAAAATTATGCTCATTAGTTCAATAGAAAACTGCCAATTATTATTAAGTCAACATAGTGTCAAAATCTCCAAATGTATTCAATAATTTTCGCTTTATTTCTTATAAATAATTAATAATATTTTTATTCTCACTAAAATATAATTTAAAATTTAATTTTATAATTTTTTTAAAAATTATTACTATTTTTCGTGAGATATATTTATCTTTTATAAATTTGTATACAGCATATACAGAATTAAATGATGAATTTAATAAAAATTGGAAATTTTTTCTGTTAATACATTATTGATTATATTAGAAGATGAGAGTACTATATAGTCTATTATAATTGTATCTTTTTTTATTATATATTAAAATATATTATATATATATTGTATTTGCTTTAAAACAAAATTATTTCATTCGTCACGGTGAGAGGATTTAATATTGAAAAAATAAAGGAAATACGAAATATATTAAAATACACATAAATTAAAATATTTTTAAATTAGATATAATAAAAGCCACAATATAAATACATTATATTATAGTTATAGTTTTTTATATTAGATGTAAATATATTTTTAAATATTTGTATTATATGAATAAATAATTATAATAATATTGAAATATTGAAACTGAATATATGTATAATACATTATATAATTACATTTCTTTTATATTATATTCATATATATGTTAAAATTATATTGAAGCATTTTTTAAGAAATTTGTATTTATACTATAAATATAATAATAATATATATGTGTATCACATATGACTTTTTAACTTAAACTTATACAACCATATTTTAAAATATTATTATCTACTAGGTATAATATTTATATTAAGCTAACGTAATATTTTTTATTATATTTTAATAACCTTCTATCATTTTTTAGATATGAATAAAGAAATTATAAATAGCTTTATGTACAATTAATATTTATTTTATTATTTTAAAATTAAAAATATATAGAATATTTATGAAATGAAATAAAATAAAGAGAAAAAAATGAACAATGAAATATGTGTTCAAATTAATGATACACATTATCTCAAGATGTGCATTTTCTTTTTTATAAGTATTAAATAGAACAATTTTAATATAAATATATATCACAATAGAGTTATTTAAATATCTATTTTGTTTTATATTTTGCCTACACATTTTATTTATGTTTTTCATATTATGATTGAAGCATTTATCAATATATATTATATATCACAAGTGAATATAATGATATATTATATTGTATAATACTTAATGTTAAAGAGATTCAATGATATTTTAATATTAATTTATAATAATATATACTAATAAATTGATTACTTCTCATCCTATATATAGTTATATATAACATTAGAAATATATTAGAACATATATTTAATTCATTATTTATTAGTTTTTTTTTGAGACAAAAATATGTTACATGAAATGGATAAATCTATAGTACTTTTGAATCATTACAGTATAAACTACAACAAAATAATATATATAGTATATTTTAGAAGTATTGAAAAAAATATTCTAAATATAATATTCATAATATTATCATATATTTTTTCTTATAGTATTATTGGGTAAACTTATTCCCCATATTTAATGATATTATAGTTAAATACAAAGATGATAATGGAGGAGCAATATGGGGAAAAGAATGTCCAAAAATATTAAATGATCCTTTAATAGATAATTCGTTAAAAAACGCACCAAATAATAAGGAAATATGTATTCAGGCTATGCTTTATCTAGGTGATATAGATACTATTGAAAATAAACTTTTAAGAGAAATTGCCTGTAAATATTTTTATTATTGGATATGCCATAACATTCAAAGTATAAATAACGTTCAGGATATCAAAAATAATTATGATGGATTCCTTAAAATTTTTAGAGAAAATGTGAAAGAACAGCCTAAATATGTATGTGCAAATCAATTTGAAGATGTTATATATGAAGATTTGGAAATACTTAAATATATAAATCTTATGTATAAAAAATATGATAGAAATAGGTGGACACACTGGAATTACAGTAAAAAAGATTTTTATGAAGCAGCAATAAATACTATAAATAAATACAGTGAAAAAATTGAAACAAGAGATATCTTAACTTGTGAATCTAGAGAGGATACTATAACACAAATATTAACCCCTTGCAAAAGTAGTATGTTTTCTCCTATTATAATAACAATGGTGCTAACGCTATTAATATCTATTTCATTAATGATTTTTTTTAAGGTTAATAAGATTTTTATATTATATTTTAAAAAAGAGTATTTAAATAAATTATATATATTTGATTATTAAAGTACAATTATATATTTGATATAAATTTTTATGTATTTACTAGTACACAAAATATGGATCATGGTTGCAATATGTAATATTAAGGAGAACAAACGAGATGAAATTTATAAGTGAAGAAATAAAAAGGATGAATGAAACCGATAGAGAAAGAAGTGTAAATAGAAATATAAGACATAATATATTATATAATTCTATCTAATTTTAATATTAATTATAAAATAGGAACAATATTACACAATAAACATATTAAATGTGCGAATCATATATTATGAGAAATATTTATCACAATAAATTCATATATAGATGAAAAAATTCTAATAATACCTTAAAAAAAGATCTGATTTATATTTTTTGAATTTAAAATATAATGCTTGTACTTAAATAACGTGATAATGTTCAAAATATATTTCTACAACTATGTATCGAATGAATAATATAACTATGAATATTTTTCATCTTTGTTTTTTTTCTTTTTATTATTCTTGTTCCTTCATAAGAATTCATGCTTGAATATGCTACTTTTAAGATATGAAATGGTATGATATTAATAAAAAATATATATGTGCAAAACGAGAAATGAATTCTTGAATCATAATTTTTAGTAAAATTTATTTAATCCATATAAATTATTTCTATATACATGACTGAATTTATCATATATTACTATGGTAATTTGAGCAACTAATGAGTGTATATCATTATTGCTAATTAAATCTCTAATTTATATTTTCTTTTAATTTTATCACATAAAAAAAATACTGTGAATATTATACATACCCACACATTTTTTATAAAATAATTACTAGACATAATTTTTATTAGTACATAGACGGATGCAATTTCAACATATAATTTTTTTTTTAAAATATTGTATTTCTTTTAGTGACTTTTTCTATTACAAAATAAACATTTTTACCAATTGTTTTCTTAATGCAGAAAAAACTTATTGTCTGTATAATAAAACTATATAATACCTATTCTATTCGTTTATACTGAAAAAAAATAAAATAACAGGATATATGCTTCATTATATATCATAATGTTACTCAAAAATATTATAACAAAAAATTGAAATACATTTATCCCATGAAAAATATTAATACTTGGTTATATTCTTAATTCATTATGTTTTATAATTTATATGGTTATAATTAGTAGAATTGAATTATAGCATAATAATAAAATACACCTTGAAATATTTTAGAAATGCTCCAAAAATAACAATAACGTTTTTATGAAATATAAATATATATATATATAAAATAAAAACTATTAGTTAATTAACAGTTAATTATATAATGAAAAATAAGTATTACAAGAAAATAATGCTAAATAATAAAAATAAAGATGTACAAGAATTGCAACATTTATATATCTAATGAGTGCTATGAAATGAGTTCTTTAACAATTTATAAATGTTTACATTTCTTATTTCAGTTATTATAATTATATTTTTAATATTTTTATTAATATATTCTCGTTCTAAAGAAATATATATAATCACATAACATAAAACTACATGTACTTATACTTTTGTACTATGTTAAGCTATATGTAAAAAAAAAGGCTAAATATAAATACTTTTATTATATTTATTAATTTACTTTTTATTACTATTAATTTTAAAATTCATGTAATATTATCTCTATATAGCATTTATAATGTTAATCTCTATATGTAATATTGATTATATTATATAGTGCATGTATTTACCTTTTTCACTTTATTATATTATTTGAAATTTTTTTTTATATAAATTACCTTAATTATACCTTATCCATATGCTTCATTCAAAATGTAATTCATATGATCTTTCTAATTATAATATTATTTTTTTTGTATATTTTTCGACAAAAAATATGCTAAAAACACTTTTCGTAACTTATACATATAAATGATATTCTAATGAATTCGTAAAAAAATGAATGCTAATAGTTATTGGGTTATATATATTTTGATATTATTATTATTTAAATATATATATAATTTAATTTTTTTTGCGTACAACTTTTATAGATTCTTATATAAACTAATAAAAATGTTTATGCATTTGTATTATAATTCTAAATATTATGATAAATTATAATTATACTATTAACTATAATGTGTTTTATTTTATTATATGTTTCGTTGTCATTATATAACAAATATCATTAGAATATTTTGAAATGTATTTCTTATTTATGGAAAGATAAATCATTTTATAATACATGATATAAAAATAATGTATTTTTTATAAATGTCCAAACAAAAACAAATAAATTTTTTTTTAGTTACATAAATAATATATTGTAATATAAAATATTTAACCTTATTAATCATATAATTTACGTTAAAATATAAACATAATATGGAAAATATATTTTGGAAATTCATTCATATTGACTTAAAAAATGACACATTATTATTTAAACCTTATGTAGAATATTTATTAAATCATGAGTTAAGTGTGTGTTATTATATTTGAAATTAATTGACTCTTAATAAAATTAGTGCTTTTATAAGAATATTTTATTATTTATTACAATATTTAAATGGGAGGTACTAATGATATTAATTGTATATCATTAGAGGAAAAATAATTGAATTCATTATATTTTTTTTTTTTAATACTTTCTATAACTAATATTAACTTAGATGTATTTATGTTTTATATGGTAATAAAATATAATGTATATTTACTCTATATATATCTTCATATCTTGATTATAGAATGTATATTTTCCTTAATTATTTATTTTTATATTCTTCATTTTTATATTACGTAATGAAATATCTATATTTATGAATATTATATGTATTATTCTTATATTCAATTTTATTTTCGAAAAACATTAGGGAATAATTTTAATCAAAAAAAATACCTACTTGCAGAAAAAAAATTATTAGTGCTAAGGCATGATGAGAAAAAGGAATTAAATTCCAACATGTTAAGATATAAATCATTAATAAATAGATACGTTACTGAATTATTAAATGAAAATCTTTGCTCATCTGTCTATTAATAGTTTTATTAAAAATCATAAAATAATAATAATGTTTTAAAAAATATATTTATAAATAACCCCAAAATTTTTTTAGGAAAATTAAATTTTTATTCAGAAAATGGATTCTCGTACTTATATATATGTTATATAACCATATGAAAAAAATAAGTAATATTCATTAAAATATTAAATGAATTATAATATATATATGTTATTGTTTTATCGGATAATAGAATTCGCAATGATTTTGTGTCCTGCACTAATATGTCTTATTTCTAATATAAATACAACTTATAGCTTAGTAAATTATAATAATAATATCTGAAATATATGTAAACCTCCTAATTAATTATATTATAATTTATTACAAAAATTTTCTACATATATTCAGAATTGTTATAACATTGTTATGAATTGTGTGCAATTAAACTGTAAAAGAATGTAAGGGAAAACATTGAAAATACATTCATTTACGCATTTTTAATATTATATTCAAATTAAATTTATATTAGATATATAGTTTTTTATATTACCTAAGATATATTTTCATATATACTAGACACGTCAAAATTAATGAATATATTAAAAAATATATTTGCTTCACTGAATATATTTATTCATAATATTTTTTGAATGATTTTTTGTTTCTTGTTTTCCTTTTCATTTTAAAATATATATTTAAAGTTATTGTACTTATTAAAATATAATTTTTAATATATATACTCATGAAAATAGAACTATTATAACTGTATATGCTATTTATCATATAAAAAAGATTATTATGCATGCATATTTCTTTCTCATATACATACCTTCGTTTATATGTATTTAAATGAATGGAATACATTTAGACATGTAAATAGGTAACAATGATAATGTTCTCAGATTTTTTTACATAATAAAATTTATATTCTTTTTCTGATAAAAACGCCTTTTTTTTTAGAAAATTTCTCTAATAATTATGAAGCTAATTATTTGTATTGGCATTCTTAGGAAAATGGATCATGTAATTTAAATAAAATATATACGTACTTTAATAGTTTTGTAACAAATAAATAAATATATTGATTTATGTTCATTTTTATTTAAATAAGAATATAATAAATTGTTATTTTAATATAATTACATATATTTAAAATTAAATATATTAACTATGCATGCATATTTATATAAGTTCCAATTTACAGGATGATTAATATGGGCAAACAATATTATATAATAAAATTTTAATTTCTTTGTAATGTAAAATTAATTTTTACATTTTTACAATTAATTAAGTATATTATGTATATATTATATATATATAACTTATTTATATAATAAATAGAAGCACTATTATTCTTTTTGTTATAAATATGAATATATGAAAATTACATGTTAGAATAACAATATATGCTATGTATTATTTTTTCATTTTTAACAATGTACAATGATATGTTACATATTTTGAGAGTATTTATATGTCAGTGAAACATATCTCCTTGGAATCTCATAATTCGTATATATAATATGAAAATATTACATATAGATAATATGAAATATATACATATTATTTATATAATTTATTTACAATATTCACTATTTACTAAAAAATTCAGACAGCTTTTTAAAAATGTAATATAAAATTACAGAGTTAATTAGTTTATCAAAAAAAAAAATAAATAAATAAATAAATCACTATATGTTTTAATTGTGTGAATCTTTGTATTAATAAATAAATATGTAGTAAATTGAATATATTTACATAATATGAGTCTTATGAAATGAATAACATTCATTTTGTTATAAGGATTATAAACATAAATCATTACAGAATATAAATTTTAATAATGTGTTAAATGAATTGTAATATATTATTCAATAATAACATAAAATTGAATATAATAATATTTATGGTAACATATTAAATCATATACATTCAATTATTATTATATACTGATGTTGCATTTACATTATTAATTAGACATATATATGTTATGATTTTTTTACATATAAATTACTACTTTATAATCTAATGATATATTGTTAATAAGGAGTACAATCTATTAAATCAGGATCCTTATGAAATTTAATCATTGTAATTTTACACATTATCTATGCACAAGGAACTTCTTATTTAAGTGATATTATCCTATTTATTCTGAAATGTGCTCTTTATGTTTACAAAATTATATACTTTTTTGGTTTTTTATAAGAATTATTTTATTTCTAT